ATTATCATTAAGGTATGAAGAAAGAGATTTGAGGGTGTTTTTTTTCAGTGGGAATCTAACTTGACCATGGATTAGTGAAGCAGACAAGAAGAAAGTTTACTGGAGAAAGTGTGTGATTATGTTTGTGTGTGCGTGTGTGAGAGAGAGAGGGGGGGGGGTAGAGAGAGAGAAGGTCTCCCCCTCTCCCTCCCTCCCCCTCTCTTTCTCTTTCATACAAACACACACACACACACACAATACACACTTAATGCAATAAACTCCCATCCTGTCTGCTTCACTACTCCTTGGTGAGGTTAGATTTCCCCCTGAAAAAAAAAATGCCCTCAGATTTCTTTCTTCATTCCTTTAATGATAATTTGCTAACGTAGTTGGCCCCTTAATTAATTCTTCACCACGGCAGTTGTTGTCTACCTGTTGTGTCTGCCTGCATCCTCCTTTGTCTCGAAATGTAAGCTAATGCAACGGGTGACCCTCGGAGCTCATTCCATTATACTTGATACGGTCCGTGGCTGTAAACAGTGACAGAATCCGGTATGGCCAAATTAATGCCGGTAGTTGTTGCCTGCATCGTGCCTGCCTTTCCCTTTGCAAGGATCAGGGTCTCTTTATGAATTTCCAAGAAGCACTTGGTTAGTTCCCCTGCTTGTTTCTCCCACCGCTTGTCGTAATCACATTATTCCACAAATGAAGCCAGAACAATGATGTTATGGAAGGTGGTTTCCCAGGTCAATAGCAGAAATGAGGTGTAGCTGCTAGGAACAAGGACAAAAATATAATAAACTTGGCAAAATTCCTGGGGTGTGAATGCAGCAGACCACGAAGCTGAAGGAGAAAAAGGCATTCCATCATGGAAAGGAGACGGGGAAGGGGTTAGAAATTAAAGACATGAAAGTAATACAAAGATTAAACAAATTACATTATACAAAAAGTGGTAAGCTACAGTTCCCCGACCTGGGTTGAATTTTTAAAAGGAAAAAAAAACCCACCAAATGAACATATTTGAGAGGGGAGGGACACTAATCCTTTCTTCTTTTTTTTCTCCCTTCACTTTAATAACATTTTCTCTGTTGTTTCTTTTTTCTCCCCTTGCAAATTGGGGAGAATGTAATTGAAGCACACAGCATCCCACAGCAGACAGAATTTAATTAGATATTAGCCTGGTAAAATTAGATAGGCTTTGATGAACCACAAGTCCATACTAATGAATATTGTTTGAGGGTGCATTTTAGGAGCCTCTGAAGTACAGGCAGTCCTCGACTTATGACCACAATGGAGCCCCAAATTCCTATTGCAAAGCGAAAATGTTTGTTAAGTGAGTCTGGTCCCCATATGCCACCTTTCTTGCCACAGCTGTTAAGTGAGTCACTGCAATTACCAAGTTAGTCACTTGGTTGTTGAGTAAATCTGGCTTCCCCATTGACTTTGCTTGTCAGAAGGTCGCAAAAGGGGAACACAGGACACTGGAACCATCTTAAATATGAACCAGTTGCCAAGCCTCTGAATCTTGATCACACGACCTTGGGGATGTTGCAATGCTCATTAGTATGAAAAACGGTTACGGATGGACGGATGGGTGGGTGGGTAGACAGATGGATGGACAGACAGATGGACAGACAAATAGATGGACAGGCGGATGGGTGGGTGGATGGATGGATGGATGGACAGATGGATGGACAGATGGGTAGGTGG